AAAAAGTTCATTACACCTCTGAAAAAAACTTTCTAAAGCAAACAATAAAGGTTTTAATCTTGCACAGTTCACAAATGCATGAAAAATGGTTTCCCTTCAGTACAAAAAGGACATTGAGCATCAACCTCAGAATTTAAAATTGAAACAAAAGCATTGACGGCGACAGCGCCGTGAAGAATTCTCCACTGTAAGTCACCTGTCTTTTTCGTCAACGGTGGTTTATAAAGTGCTCTCCACTCAGGTTTTCTGTCCACATTCATGTAAAAAAGTCACGCCACGGGGTATCTCTTTTTTTATCTAGCATTTTTTTGTAAACATAATGACACAATACTTATACAAAGTTTTCCCAGTACAAGAAAAAAAGTCTACACACAATGAATCAAAACTTTCTAAAAACACTCCAGAAACCTCTTCTAGGTTCAAAGAAAGAAACAAACAAGGAAAAGAGTCTTCAGGATTTGATTTACAGAGACCATCACGGCACTCAGTCAACAAAGTTCTTTCTGCTGTATTGAGAAGCGTCTGCCATTTCACCAATAGCTGCGCAACTAGACGGGTTGATCTAATTCCCAGATGTTGAGCCGTTGCTTCTTCATTCTTAAAATCAAGTCCTGCTATTTCCAGTAATTGCCTCAAAGTGGTGGTTTTACTGTCAATGAGTTTTTTGTTAAGTCCTGGGAAAGGCCACCAGCAGACACATCCAGACGTGCTCCACGAACTAGAGGCTCTTCCAAAAGCCAATGAAGTGACTGTGAAACCTCTGCTTTTTTAAAAACAAAAAGACTCCAAACCTTAAAAAGGTTCTTATAGAACACTGGTAAACCAGAAGTGTTCAATTTTGTAGGGTCCAGAAAAAAATTGTTTTTTCCAAACCCAGATCCTCAAGTTTACGTAAAATAACAAAGCGACAGAACACCATTTATATTCAATTGACCAACAAGTAGTTTTTGTATGAGTTGCAACCGAAAAGTTGCGATTCTGCTGTGAAGATGTATTAGCCCCTGTCCACCCTCCTCCTTAGGCAAGAATAACACACTCTGTGGGACCCAATGCAATTTATCCCAGAAGAAATCTACCAAAATTGTCTGGATTTTCGCTAAAAGATGTGAGGGAGGATCAATACATGCAAACTTATGCCACAGTGAAGAAGCAACTAAATTATTTATAATTAAAATACGCCCTCTATATGACATCTTTGGAGTTAACCATCTCCATTTATCCAGACGACCTTTAACCTTTTCAATGACTCCTTCCCAATTTTTTTTCACTGTAACATCATCACCAAGATACACTCCTAAGTATTTAAACCCTGATTTTCCCCAACCTAAACCTTCAGGGAGATCTGGTGGTCTCCCACCTCCCCATTTACCTAATAATAAAGTTTCACTCTTGCTCCAGTTTACACTTGCAGAAGATAAACCTTTAAAAACATTAAGTAAACCTAACAAAACCTGTATGTCACTTTGCCTATTAACCATTACTATGACATCATCGGCATAAGCTGAAAGTATCATGTTATTTTTACAGTTTGGCAAACATATACCATGAAGTTTTACCCGTATCTGTTGTAAAAGTGGCTCTATTGCCAAAGAGTAGAGCATTCCAGACACTGAGCACCCCTGCCTTACACCTCTAAGAGCTTTAAAAGGAGCACATAAACCACCGTTCACTTTGAGAATACTCTCAACGCCACTGTAAAGAACTTTAATATGATTTATAAAATTTTGACAAAACCCAAAAGCCTCTAAAACTCTCCACAAATAGCAAAACTCAACACGGTCAAAAGCTTTCTCTTGATCCAAAGAGATTAACCCACAATCTAAATTTAACATCTTGGAGACCTCTATAACATCACGAATCAATGAAATATTGTCAAATATTGACCTACCGGGAACACAGTAGGTCTGGTCAGGATGGATGACACCATCCATCACTCCTGCCAACCTGTTAGCCAGCGTTTTCGAGAGCAGTTTGTAGTCGCTGCAGAGTAGTGATACGGGCCTCCAGCACTTTATATCTGCAAGGTCGCCTTTCTTGGGCAGGAGGGTTAGTACTGCTCTACGGCAGCTCAGAGGCAGCTGGCCTTCAGCCAAGCTTTCATTCAAAACCTCCAGAAGGTCCTCTCCTAGTTCTGACCAGAAAGACTTGTAAAAATCTACTGGCAGACCGTCAATGCCCGGCGCCTTTCCAGACTCCATTCCTTGGAGGGCCTTGTACAGTTCAGCCATGCTCAAAGCACCAGAGATTTCAGTATTGACCTCCTCAGACACCTGGGGTAGATCGTTAAAAAAATCACTGTCACTCCTGTATTCCACCCCAATCTCATTTTTATACAGGTTTTCATAAAAACCGACCGCTCTCTTTCGAATGTCTGCAGGGTTTGTCAATAATCCTCCAGACTCGGAGCGCAGAGCATGAATGACTCTGCTCTGACCGTTCTTTTTCTCCAAGTTAAAAAAGAACCTGGATGGAGCATCCATTTGATCCACACTCTGGAACCTCGACCTGACCAGCGCCCCCTGTGTTTTAATGCCCAGTAAATCAGCCAACTGTGTCCTCTTGTTTGACAAAGAATCTAGATAACCCTGACCACCAGTTGACTCAACTAATTCTTGAAGTTTTAAAATGTCGGTCTCCAAGGTGTTCATACTCACATCTATCTCTCTAGTGACGTTTCGAGTATACTGCATACAGAACTGCTTTATTTGGGCTTTCCCAAAATCCCACCACTGTCGTAGAGAATTATAAGACCCCTTTATGGTTCTGAACTCATCCCAAAACAGCTTAAATGTACTTTTAAAGTACTTGTCACTTAACAAAGTGGTATTTATCTGCCAGTATGCACTCCTTGGCTTAATGGAGTTTAAAAACACAGAACACTGCACCATACTGTGATCAGAAAAACACAGTGGAGTAATTGAACATTTTCTTACAATGTTAAAGTGATGCTTTAAAACATAGAAACGGTCTAATCTTGCAAGTGAAATCACACTATCACGAACATGAGTCCAAGTATATTGTTTTTGTGTCTCATGAAGCTGCCTCCAAACATCACAAAGCTCATGCATTTTAACAAGCTGAACCAAACGATTACGAGAGGGCAAGTGAGGTTCAATATGATTCCTGTCCAAGTTTGACAATGTGCAGTTAAAGTCACCACCCAAAAATAAAAATTCTTCGACACAACCTTTTTGTAAAACTGAACACAAAGTATTTAAAAACAACATTCTTTCTATTTGTGCAGTTGGGATGTACACACAAATAAAAACAAATATATAATTCTCAAAAATGGCTCTTACTTTTAATAGTCTACCTTTAACTACTTCGTCAACCTGATAAGAAGTTGGACTAAAACTCTTAGCAAAAAGAATAGCAACCCCTCCGCTAAGTGAGGTGTTGTGGCTCAACACAGAGACCCCATCCCACTCCTCAGCCCAATCAGCAGCATTCCTCAAATCACTATGCGTTTCTTGCAGCATAACAACATCTATTCTTTTTTGTTTAACCATTTCAAAAATTCCTGCTCTTTTTCTCAATTCCCTTGCTCCATTTACATTCAAAGTCGCAATATTCACTTCACTCATACTTGGAGAAATGAAAAAGACTAAGAAACAAATCAGCACTCCACACACACACACCACATTACTAGCCAGGCTATACTTTCTCACCTTCATTGGCACTATCAGAAGTGAGTTTTCTTACGATCTTTTTCAGTCGATATATCTCCTTATTTGTAAACAAACCTTCCGACATAAAGAACCTGGTTTTCTCAACAAACTGCTTTGTGTCTGAAAAATAATTATTTACACAGACCCCTCTCTTGTTCTTAGTAGCTTTTAAAAAAAGTTTAATGTCATCTACTTCAACACCTCGACTAGAGAAGTCACACTGAGAGAGACTGACACTTGAATCAGAAGACTCACTGTCAGTTTCACCATACAAATCCTCCACGTCAGCCTTCTTAGCTCTAACTGTCTGA